TAGTAGTAGTAGTAGTAGTAGACCTGGCTTATTCAGTCTTTGTATTTAATACGGTTTCATTTGACAATTAAACGTTAGACATATGAGAGCTGACGCATATACATCAAAGTAAGACATGAGACGTTGTAAGATAGATGCCAGACCTCAGGAAGAGGCCGGGAATTTCCATAATGAAATATGATCAAAACAAAAAAATATCTAAAACATGATTAATTACATTCAGGCTGAAGTCCCGTCCCTCAGAGGCAGCAATGTCTCTGCAGACCTCAGCTGTCTTTCTGAGGATCGCCTTTTGGGTGATGTCACGGTGAGTGGAGGATTTCCCATTAAATGAGAAGAGTGGTTGGAAGCTGTGAATGAGGCCTAGCAGGGAGAGGACCACTGTAACTAGGAGCATGACTCTCTGTCTGGAAGCCATAATGGGGTAAGGAGCTGTAATGGAGCCAAGGGGAAGAAGAGTGAAGTCAAAAAAAGAAAAAATCTGGAAGGACTCCTCTTCTACTTATTTTCAACCATTTCCTTCAACAGTTTATGACCCGACAAAGCAATGTTATTCAATCAGTGTTTTCTGTTTTATTTTGTAATACTCACCTCTCATCAACTTCACTTCCTGCCTTTGTGTGTTTCAAACCAGTTTTGATTGTCTGCCCTGCCCGGATTAGTTTCACTTGTCTAGTTATCCTCCCCTCAGTAGTGTATTTAGTCTGTGTGTTCCTTTGTCTTAGTTTCGTCTTAGTCTGTGAGTCAAGCGTTCCATCCGTTTCCCCAGTGTTTACCAGTGTTTTTGTACTTCTACTTTGTTTTTTGGATTTTCCTGTAAGCCTTTTTGTATCTTGTCACTTTCTTTAAATCATTATATGGCACTGGGTCAGCATCTTGAATCTGCTTTTGGGTCCAGCCTCTTGCATTCCTAGTTACCCTGCTGACATTTGTAACAAGATGATATAATCTGGCACATTAAATCCCCCCTCCAGTGTCATTGTGTTCAATTCTATTTGTAATTGTCCGCATTAAATAAACAGAGTAACATGTTAGGGTAATCTGATCACTCTAACTTCCACAGTAGGTTGCTGGAAACAGATACACAGTCGTCAAACACAAAGATACAGCAGCTGACTGCTCTTACACCTATGTTTTTCAGCTGGGAGCTACTCCTCCCTTTACTTGTGGGTGAATAGCATCCATCAACAGTACATTCAAAAATCTACTATTTAGTATTAATTGCATCTGCTTTGAGTATACTTTGTTTCTTAATACTGAAAATGTTCATATATTAGGTATGACGTGGTGGCAGTAAGCTTTCTATCCCCCGGTTATATTAGGCTATAACTTGGGTAAACCATGTTTAATTTGTTGTATGTTATTTAGAAATAATACATTTACATTATGTTTACAAATACATTTTTAGGAATTTAAAAAAACAAAAAAAACAAAACCTAAACATCAGAAATTAATATTTGACTGTAGTCTCAAAAACAGTAGCTTACATATTTATGGAAAAAAATATATATATACACGCCAACACTACCACAAATACTTATAACACTAATGCAACTAGAAGTAATAAAGCAATCAAGATATATACAAAGTTAAACATTATGAAAAAGATTATTGCTAATACAATAATAAATGCACAAAAGACGCAAATGTTTGCACATGCTTACCTTTGAGTGCTCTGCTCTTTGCAGCTCAGCCTTATTCAGATTGTAACACTGCTTGAGTGTTTCTGTCAGTCTTTGATGTTTACACAGGATCACTGTGTGTAGACCTATGTTTCCCGAGTAACAGTATCTCAATCCTTTAGGTGTGTTTGGTTGTCTGATTATACACAGCACTGACTGATGAAGTGAATAACACTGATTATCTGGCATAGCACCTGTCAGTGGGTGGGATCTATTAGGCAGCAAGTAAACATTTTGTCCTCAAAGTTAATGTGTTAGAAGCAGGAAAAATGGTTGTGATAGTTAGGTGACAGAGCATCTCCAAAACTGCAGCTCTTGTGGGGTGTTCCCAGTCTGCAGTGGTCAGTACCTATCAAAAGTGGTCCAAGGAAGAAAAAGTGGTGAACCGGAGACAGGGTCATGGGTGGTCAAGGCTCATTAATGCATGTTGGGAGTGAAGGCTTGCCCATGTGGTCCGATCCAACAGACGAGCTACTGTAGCTCAAACTGCTGAAAAAGTTAATGCTGGTTCTGATAGAAAGGTGTCAGAACACACAGTGCAGTGGGTTGGCTGTGGTGCAGAGGCAGAGCGTGTTGTCCCTTAAGTGGGAGGTTGTTGGTTCAATCCCCGGCTCCTGGTGCCACATGTCAAAGTATCCTTGAGCAAAATACTGAACCCCCAGTTGCTCCCGATGCCATGCATCGGTGTGTGAATGTGTATGAATGCATTATTTTCTGTTCGATGGGCTTTGCCGTGAATGTGTGTGAAAGGGTGCGTGTAGTGTAAAAGCGCTTTGAGTGGTCGGAACACTAGAAAGGCGCTATACAAGTACAGGTCCATTTACCATCACAGTTTGTTGATATGAGGCTGCATAACATTATGACCACCAGGGTGCCCAGCTGGTTATAATGTTATGGCTGATCAGTGTATATCATTATGCTAATGTGGGTTGTTCAGGGAAAGACAGTTCTAAAGAAAGGACAATACTATTCATGTTATGTGTTCAGTAATATTATTAAAGCAATTAGAAATGACTTGGCTGTCTTGTTCAGGTCTGGTGGTGGAGCAGTCAACCTCAGGACTGAGGACACAATGTTCTCACCAATAATAAAAAAATGGTTGTCCACATTGGATAGAGCTGAAAAATGAATAAAATAATAAAAGCATCATCACAGTAAGCTGTATATATTTATTGAAATCACAGGTTTACATCCAACATTTTGATAATGTATTTTAAGCCGGTGTCTCGAAGCTGTTCCTTTATCAGGTTAAAAGCAGCTTTTGCACTAGGTCCATGCTGATGTCTCGGTAAAAGCATACAATCATGGCTTGTGGGGGCCCGTTTGGCAGCGGAGGTCTGAGGGTACAATGAGCATGGTCAACTTCTGGTTTGGAAGGGAAGCTGTCCTTCCTGAAGACCTTGACTGGGAAGATTCCATGAAACAGGTAGGGAGACTAAGGCTCTTGCTCTTTGCACTTGGTTGCCAAGCTGCTCCAAGACCCTAGACCCTAGAGCTGGATGGAATACCAACACTTGACCGAGCACATCACAGTCTACAGTCAGAGCCGGCAAGGGGACACCAGCGCCGGGCTTTCATTGTAAAGTTTCATTACTACCAAGAGAAACTTGGTAGAGATTTTGTGGAGAGCAGCGAAGATGAGCCCATTGACCTATAACAGTGATACAATTATAATATTTCCAAACCTGCAGCCCACAACTGTGAAACGCAGAGCCACTTTCAGAGAAGTGAAGGACCTTTTGCACTGCTGCCAGAACGTCAAATTCGGAATGCACTATCCAGCAATACTGAAGATCTCTTCTTCTCAGGGATAAAAAACATTCACAGACTCAGGTAGGGGTCAATCGATGGGGTAGGGGTCGAGGGATGGGGTTAGGGGTCCAGGGATGAGGGATGAGGGGATGAAGAGTTGAGGGATAAAGGGAAGAAGGGTTGAGAGATGAAGGGTTGAAGGTTGAAGAATGAAGGGGTATTGGAAGGAAGGGTGAGGGATCAACGGATGGAAGAAAGGTGGGTTTGTTGGCAGATGGATAAATGGACGGAAGGGTTCGGTGAGATGGTACGAAGGAACTGAGGTTGTGAGGCTCTCAGTGGGGGAGCCGTCTCTTCGTATCTTTAGTATAGAGCCCAAGTGGTGCCTGTATTTGGATAAGAGAGACAGGGGAAAAAAGACGGAGGGAGTGAACGGATAAGGTGTGCTTAAGTGATGATTTCAACTGTGTCCTCGATCTAAATTAGGACAGATCGAGGACTAGACAGTTATCTTTCTAAATCTGCTACAGTTCTTAATTAATTTCTCCAAACATACAACATGTAAGTTCCATACGTATAACTGACCCTGTCTCCAAACACTACTCTTTCTTCTCACCAGTACATTCGTACTCCAGGATTGACTACTTCCTGCTGGACAACTCACTTATCCAATCAGTATCTTTCTGTAAATATCATGCTCTTATTCTTATATCAGATCACTCTCCTGTGCAAATGGATATCTCCCTCCCAGATTGTCACGTACCTCAGCAAATGTGGAGATTCGACCCCTCCATGCTGTCAAAGACTTATCTTTTAGCACAGATTGATCTCTTTCTAGAAGTTATGATACCCCAGATAAGTCCACAATCCCGGACCAAGGCATTCTGACGAGGTCAAATAATTTCATATACGGCATATAAAAACAAAAAGCACTTTGAGAACTGACCAGGCTTATTTCCAACATTGACTCTCAATACGTAGACAGACCTTTTGCAGACTTGTTCAAACTAAAACTTCAGTCAAAATTTGAAACTCCCCCTTATACAGACACTGAGAAACTTTTGTTGTGGACAAGAAAGCATACTTATGTAACATGTTCTCGACCGCTGACTCTAGCTGTCCTAGATATCATCAGTCACAAGCAACAATGAAAGGCTACCAGTGCCCCACCCACCTTTATATCATGGATGAGGGAAGTCATGATGTGCCTCCAAATGGAGAAGTTGAGATACACATTGAATGGGTCACTTAAAAAAAATATAATAGAACCTGGCTTCCCCTTATTGAGTATGTGGAAAACTTCTCTTTCCCAGCAGTCTGACACTGAACCATATATAGGAGGTGTACCATACAGCTGTTTTTTCTTGTTCTCGTTATTGTAGTGGTTATTGTTCCCCAATATTACATATTCACGTATCCTATATTGCTCTCATATTTTAGAGGTTTTGGTTTTGTTTGTTTTCTGTTTAGTTTTTTTTGTTCTATCTTTTAAAAAAAAGTTAATTTGATATTTGTAGCACGTCGAGCTACAGACGGGGTTCCCTCAGTACACAAACAACCACACTCTGTCTTTGAATACACCACTTTTATTCAGCGTACTGCTCACATGGCACACAAAGTCTAGCTCAGTCGCCTCTGGCTCTCAGTGGCACTCCCGGTAGCGTCTCTCTGGCCCAGCACACTACTGCAAAGATAAGGGTAGAGTCATCAGGTAATCAAGGGCAGGTGAGGTAATCAACTCACCTGGTGCCGCTCTCCCAAGCCTTCCCCACACCTCTCCCTCCTGCAGCTGAGCACAAACCACACCCACCTCCACATACCCCCACCGCCCAACTTAGGCCGGGGAGCCATCCGGCCCAACCTACTATACAGAGGGTTTGTTTTACCTTCTCAAACGCCAGCTGACACTGCTCCGTCCACTGGACCGGATCTGAGGCACCCTTCCGAGTGAGGTCGGTCAGGGGGCTGGTCAAGTCCGCAAAGTGCGGAATGAACCGCCGGTAATAACCCGCCAGCCCCAAGAACCGCCTCACCTCCTTTTTGGTCTTGGGCTGTGGGCTGGCTGCAATTGCTGCTGTCTTGTCTACTTGCGGACGCACCTGCCCACTGCCCAAGTGGTACCCCAAATACCGTACCTCCCTCCGTCCAATGGCACACTTCTTCGGGTTGGCCGTGAGCCCTGCCTGCCTCAGTGACTCGAGCACCGCCGCCACACTGTGCACATGCTCCCGCCAGCTGTTACTATGGACGATAACATCATCCAAGTAGGCGGCAGCATACGCAGAGTGCGGATGCAGGACCCGGTCCATGAGACGCTGGAAACTGGCCGGGGCACCAAACAACCCAAAGGGAAGTGTGACAAATTGGTACAAACCGTACGGAGTGGAGAAGGCCGTTTTTTCCTTAGACTCTGGAGACAAGGGAATCTGCCAATAGCCCTTGGTTAACTCCGGTGTCGTGAAAAAGCGAGCAGTGCCTAACCGATCCAGGAGCTCGTCGACCCGAGGCATCGGATAAGCATCAAACCGTGACACATCATTCACCTTGCGATAGTCCACACAGAACCGAATAGACCCATCCTTCTTCAGTACCAGAACAATGGGGCTACACCAGGCACTGTTGGACTCTTCTATTACCCTCATCTCCAGCATGGCCTTCAATTCCTTCTGAATCACTTTTCTTTGGTGTTCAGGTAACCGATAGGGCCATGAACGCACCCTCACGCCCGGGTGAGTCTCAACATGATGCTGTATGAGATTTGTCCGTCCTGGCAGGGGGGAGAACACATCAGCAAAACGCTGTTGCAACGCGGCAACGTCTGCTCTCTGGGACGGTGTGAGATGGTCATCACAAAGGAGTGAGGCTGGATTGGTGGAATTTGGTACCTCAGGCCCCAACTCATCTCTCTCTTTCACCGTGGTCACCAGAGAAACAGGCTCCGCCTCTCTCCATGCTTTGAGGAGATTGAGGTGGTAAATCTGTGTTGCTCCTCCCCTGTCAGAACGCACAACCTCATAATCGACATCACCCACTCGCCGTGTGACCACAAAGGGCCCTTGCCACTTGGCGAGTAATTTAGAGCTGGAAGAAGGGAGTAATACAAGTACTTTATCTCCCGGTGCAAATTGTCTGAGCCGAGTTCCTCTGTTGTACAGGCGCTGTTGACGCTCCTGGGCCCTGAGCAAATTCTCCCGTGACAACTGACCCAATGTGTGGGGTTTTGCTCTCAGGTCCAGGACGTACTGAACCTCATTTTTACTTGGGCTCGGACCTTCCTCCCAGCTTTCTTTAACAAGGTCCAGAACCCACCGTGGTGTCCTGCCAAACAGCAGTTCAAAAGGAGAAAATCCCGTTGAGGCCTGGGGCACCTCACGCACTGCAAACAACAGAGGATCTAGCCACCTATCCCAATTACGGCCGTCATCGTGCACAACGGATCATGGACTTCAAGGTTTTGTTCAGACGCTCGACAAGGCCGTCGGTCTGAGGGTGGTACACACTAGTCCGATTTGACCTGATGCCCAACAACCCATAAAGTTCCCGGAGTGTGCGTGACATAAACGAGGTGCCCTGGTCCGTTAGGATTTCTTTTGGGATCCCAACTCGGGAGATGACCTGGAACAGTGCCTGTGCCACGCCCTTTGCAGAGATTGTGCGCAGAGGCACTGCTTCTGGATATCAAGTTGCATAATTCACTAGGACTAATACAAAACGATATCCACGTGCGCTCCGGTGAAATGGCCCGATGAGGTCCATGCCAATACGCTCAAATGGAACCTCCATGAGTGGTAATGGGCGCAAAGGTGCTCTCGGGATGGCCGGTTGGTTAACCAACTGACATTCAGGGCAAGACGCACACCAGCGGCGTACATCTGCCCTAATGCCAGGCCAATAGAATCGGGCCATTATCCGGTTAAGTGTTTTCTCATACCCCATATGCCCCGCCATTGGGTTATAATGAGCCGCCTGGAAAACTGTTTCCCGGCGGCTGTCCGGTACCAACAACTGGGTGATTTCCTCTGCTGTCTGAGTGTCACGACTCACTCTGTATAGCCTGTCCCTAACCAATGCGAAATGCGGATATGTCTGCACTGCGTCAGGGCGCACCAGCTGACCATCAATTTGTATCACTTGGTCAAAGGCAAAGCGTAGAGTACTGTCACGAGACTGTTCGAGTGGAAAATCTTCCGTGGAGCACCACATGGGAACCTGTGGAGCCACTGGCGGAGGCACCACAGGTCCCCCCTCCCCCTCTGCAGTGTCGGACAACCTCGCGTCACCACTGAGCACGGCGAACATATCCCACAACCCTACCGGTCGTGAACGCACCCCCGCACACTGCTCCACTAATCGATTAAACCCGGGCCAATCCGTGCCCAAAATCAGGGGGTGCGTCAGGCGGGAACTAACCGCAGCCTTAACAGTATGCTTTTTACCCTTATATCTAATTTCCACGGGCACAACCAGGTATCTGTGAATATCCCCATGTATGCATCTAATGTCCACCCATGATGCCTCTACCAAAGCCCCGGGTCGAACCAGGTTCTGATGAATTATAGACTGCGTGCAGCCCGAATCCAATATTGCCCGATGTATACCCCCTTGAATCCTTACCGGGACGCTGTATGTCCCTCCTGGACCGGGGGAGGGTGTTGGTGGGCCGGCAACCCGGATCACCTGACCGACCTCGATGAGAGGGCACTCCCGCACCGCCAACACTCCTTCCCTGATGCCTGAGGAACCCTCTGTGGGTCGAGAGCGGCACCCGTAGCGGCTGGACCCTGGGGAGGAGAGAGAGCAGAGGGTTGGTTAGTGCGCGGCGGAGGGAGAGGCCGGGCAACAGTTTCCAGACGGGCGGTAAGTGGGGGTCTTCTGCGAGGCGCGGGCACGGGTCGGGTGGGTGCAGAGGGCCGCCTCTCCGGAGCTCGGTCCCCACTGTGGACGGCCAGGTGATCCTCTGCGAGGGTGATAGCGGCCTCCAAATCCACCGGACGGTGGCACCGCACCCACTCCGCGGTCCTGGTCGGGAGCCCCTCCACAAACTGTTCCAACACCACCTGCTCCAGCATCTGCCTCTCTCCGACGGATCCCCCCGGCTGCAGCCACCTGGTGGCAGCGTCCTTCAGCTGCTGCGCATAGACAAAAGGACAGGCGGAGGGTCCCAAGGTGGCGGACCGGAACCGGCGGCGGTGATCCTCAGGGGAAAAACCCATCCTGTCCAGGATGGCTCTTTTGATGTTTCGGAACTCCCCCCGAGAAGAAGCTGGCAGGCCAAGCGCTGCAGTCTGGGACTCCCCTGACAGCAGGGGAAGTAGGCGCACGGCCCACTCCACCGCCGGCCAGCCACCTGCCTCCGCCGTGGCCTCGAACATTTCGAGGAAGGTTTGGGGGTCAACTGCCGCTGTCATCCGGTGCATGGTGATACCGGAGAAGGAGGAGGGTGGAGGAGATGGTACCTGAGCCCCCGACCGGGCCAGCAGCCCCTCGAGCAGCTGGTTCTGCTTCCCCGCCTGGTTCTGGAGTGCCTCCAGATGCCGCCTGTTAATCGCCGTCTGCTTGCTGTGTACTGCTGTGATCTGCCCCAGCATCTCCCCCAGCAGTGAGACCAGCTGTGAGGGCTGCTCCATAAGCGGCTGCGGTGTCGGCTGCAGAGTCGGCTGTGGAGTCGGCTGCTGTGGAGGCCGCTGTATAGGCGGTTGTGGATCAGACATTGCTGTGTGCTGGCCCCACGTTGGGCGCCAGTGTAGCACGTCGAGCTACAGACGGGGGTTCCCTCAGCACACAAACAACCACACTCCGTCGTTGAATACACCACTTTTACTCAGCGTACTGCTCACACGGCACACAAAGTCTAACTCAGTCGCCTCTGGCTCTCAGTGGCACTCCCAGTAGCGTCTCTCTGGCCCAGCACACTACTGCAAAGATAAGGGTAGAGTCATCAGGTAATCAAGGGCAGGTGAGGTAATCAACTCACCTGGTGCCGCTCTCCCAAGCCTTCCCCACACCTCTCCCTCCTGCAGCTGAGCGCAAACCACACCCACCTCCACAATATTTTTCTTTCAACTTTTTTCTTTCATATTTCTCTTTACTGTTTGTGGCCAATGCTGTCTTTAAATGTTGTATAAGAAAACGATAAATAAAGTCTTAAGAAAACAAAACTACAGTGTTGCGACTGTGCTCTAGAAATCATTTCATCTCTAATAGCATCGAACATACCCTAAAAATCATCACAGGTAAGTTGCAAGCTAAGGCTAGCATTAGCCTCTGTAGCTTTGCGAGTGTCTAGCGGTGGGGTATTACTATTGCTAACAGTCTGTTCTGGTTCTCTGCTCTTGTGCTGGGCTTTCTGCTCATCATATGGTCCTGGTATTGAGTTTAAGTTTCACAACAAACTCTTATACACAAGAAGTGTGTGTTTCATAGAGTTCAGTCTTTGCTCTGCCAGGAAAACTGAACTCTGAGTGCTAATGTTTTAATTGTAATATTTTATTTGGTTGTGTATTTATTTTATTGTATGAAGGTTGTTTTAGTTTTATTATGCCCAAGAAATAAGTCTGATGGTCTGATGAATATTTTCTTATACAGAAAAACCACTGGCCTGATTTTTATGAAACTTGGTGAAAGGATGTATCATGGGCCAATGCGTCTGAATCACGTGGTGGATACACTTATATTTTTCTTTTTTTTTAAAAACATTGCAATATAGGTCAATTATAACACTGTTTCTTTATGATAAAGTCAAGTGAATTTGTTGTGCAGGTGAATCCGATTAAAGTGAATGGCGTGCCATACAATAAAACATAACGGCCACCTTAAACATCACTGTAGAAACAAAACACCTTAGTGGGGGTCTGTGCTCTTCAAGTGCCCTTCAGATTCTGTTTGTTATTGTCCGCATTAAATAAACAGACGGAGAAGTTCCTGGTTGGGGTAATGTGATCAATCTAACTTCCTCAGTGGCTTACTGGAAATGCACAGTAACCAAACACAAAGAGGTTATTGACAGTTGGCTGGGTATAACATGGCAACAAGAGCCAAGTGAATACACCTGGAGGAGAGAAAAAAGCACATAGAAAGCAGAAAGGAGGAACCGTAGCATAGGTTACAGGCATAGGACATAAACACATAACATGTTTGTACAGCTAGTGAATCTCAGTTTTTATGCCATCGTTTTGGCACGAAGCAGTAGCGAACCATGACTGTTGGCCCTCTGACTTACCTTGTTCTCTCTTACTGCAAATTATATGACAATTCCAGCCCTGAAACAAAAGTTAAGATGATAGGCCAGTCTTAGAAATGCAACGAGCAAACAGCACAGAGATAGAGAGAGTTATCACAAAAAACAAAAAAAGTTAATTTGTTAAGGTCCAGTGTGCAACATTTAGAAGGATCTTTTGACAGAAATGACATATGATATTCATACCTATGTTTTCATGAGTGGTAATTTTAAAAAAATAAATAAATAGGAATAATAAGAATGGTGTTTAGTTGCATGGAAATTAATGACATCACCTGGTCACTTCCAACCAGCATTATAATTAGTGCACTGTTAGAAACATAAAATACAGAAGCTCTCATATGAAATAACCAAAAACAGGTTTTCATGTCTTTTAATAGAAGTAGACAGGGCAGACCGAGAGAAACTACCGTAGGTTCACCAGAAAAAATACTCTGGACATATTGATAGTATATAAGAAACATTTATAAGAATGAAAAGTTCCCTCCCAGTAATAATGCAGAAGTGAGAGTGCAGTTTATTGCTCATCACCATCAAAACACATACTTCTCTTTAAATTGAATAACCCCTTAAAATAACCCCTTAAGTCAACAGTTTTCAGTTATGATTGCTACAACAAATCTACACAACAGTGGGATATGAAAATAAACGATTCAAAGTAACTTTTCAATGTTGTAACGCAAAGCAGCAAAAAGAAAATGATTAAATAAAGAAATTCATTATTAATACATGAAGATGAATGAATAATGGTAAACAGTAAGTGATTTCATTCAAAGGAAATAAATATTTTCTTCATGCAGTTGTAATTCAATTTAAACACACCTAATGAAATAAATCAAATATATTAAATACTTTCTGAGAGGACAATTGATTCATGTGCTACAATTCCACATTTACGGTGTAATTTCAATTTATCCCTTTTACTTCCAAAGAAGAGCAACCACAGCACTGATCCAGAGACAGTGTGATATGCTCACAGTGTGCCCTCCAGAAGATGTTGTGTTAACTGTAGTGACAGGGGCAGCTGTGGTAGATTCTCTAACTTGTCCCAAACATGTCCCCACATTTCCTACTCTCCACAACAGCCAGCTCTACATTCTGTGAACAGCAGGAGGCGCTGTAGGTAGCCACTGTAATGTTCTCAGCCTTGGCTCCAGCCACTGTGCTGGTATTGAGGGTACCGTTTCCTTGGCGGATGGTGACGCTCCCAATGCCAGTTCTATTGATGCCATCAGTGAGATTAGCAGTGAATTCCCATTGGGAGGAAGCACAGAACGATGAAGAGGACGACAGTTGGTCGATGTACTGACTACCTGACACACTGGTCGTGTAATATCTGTATTTTCTGAAATACATACAAAAGGAGCATTGCTGCAAACTCTAATTCAGGCTATAAACTGAATTTAACAGAAAGTTTGATTTTTCCTGTTAACCAATTCGCCATGGATATTAATTACACCTCCTTCCCATTTAAGGCTGAATCAAATTTCTTTCACTTATCTTGGAGTTCAAATGACACTTTCTTTCAAACCACTGTTTAAATATAGTTTTAGCCCTTACGAAAGCTAAACTTTCCAAAATGTTCTCGACCGCTGACTCTAGCTGTCCTAGATATCATCAATCACAAGCAACAATGGATCATATGTTCTGGCTCAATTATTTAACTCATTAAATAATTTGTGGACCTCTATATTTCAGACATACTCATATAACAATAAATCCCAACCCTTACATGGTGATGTTTGGTGCTCCATCAACAGAATATAGTATCACTTCGCATCAGTCAAATGTTATAGCACTCACCCCACTGTTGGCACGCGGACTAATTCTTACTAGATGAAAGGCTACCAGTCCCCCACCCTCCTTTATATTATGGATTAAGGAAGTCATGATGTGCCCCCAAATGGAGAAGTTGAGATACACATTAAATGGATCACTTAAAGAATACAATAGAACCTGACTTCCCCTTATTGAGTATGTGGAAAACCTCTCTTTCCCAGCAGTCTGACAATGAACCATATATAGAAGGTGATACTCTGATCTGACTCTAATTTTTTTACTTTTATTTTCTTGTGAATAACCTACATGTAACCTTTGTACCATACAGCTGTTTTTTCTGTTATTTTTTCTGTTATTGTTGTGTTGTTGTGGTTATTGTTCCCCAATATTACATAGTCCTGTATCCTATATTGCTCTCATATTTTGGGGGTTTTGTTTTTGTTTTGTTTCTGTTCATTTTTTTCTTTCATATTTCTTTTTACTGTTTGTAGTCAATGCTGTTCTTCAAATGTTGTATAAGAAAACGATAAATAAAGTCTTAACAAAAAAAAACTGTTCCATTTCTTTGATTTTCATTACCTGACAGGAAACTGTGAACTACAGAGTCACAACTGTGCTCTAGAAATGATTTAATCTCTAATAGCATCGAACATCCCCTTAAAATAATCCCTTTAGACAACAGTTTTAAGTTATGATTGCTACAACAAATCTACACAACAGTGGGATATAAAAGTAAATGATTCAAAGTAACTTTTCAATGTTGTAACACAAAGCAGCAAAAATAAAAATGATTAAATAAAGAAATTCATTATTTATACATGAAGATGAATGAATATTGGTTAATTAAAGACGTATCAGTAACAGTGATTCCATTCAAAGAAATGTAATTAGATTCAAACACACCTAATGAAATAAATCAAATATATAAAATACTCAGAGAGGACAATTGATTTATGTGCTACAATTCCACATTTAGGGTGTAATTTCAATTTATCCCTTTTACTTCCAAAGAAGAGCAACCACAGCACTGATCCAGAGACAGTGTGATATGCTCACAGTGTGCCCTCCAGAAGATGTTGTGTTAACTGCAGTGACAGGGGCAGCTGTGGTAGATTCTCTAACTTGTCCCAAACATGTCCCCACATTTCCTACTCTGTCCACAACAGCCAGCTCTACATTCTGTGAACAGCAGGAGGCGCTGTAGGTAGCCACTGTAATGTTCTCGCCCCCGGCTCCAGCCACTGTGCTGGTATTGAGGGTACCGTTCCCTTGGCGGATGGTGACGCTCTCAATGCCAGTTCCATTGATGCCATCAGTGAGATTAGCAATGAATTCCCACTGGGAGGAAGCACAGAGCGATGAAGAGGACGGACAGTTGGTCGATGTACTGACTACCTGACACACTGGTCGTGTAATATCTGTCACCTGGAGACACAGAAACAGGAATTGGAGAGATGAAGAAATAAGAAAGGGGGGCATCATACAAAGTATTTGTATCAGTAATTGTCATATCAATGTTGCACATACTTGCATACCACACAACTCTTCTGTGGCTACTAATTTTAGCCACCTTATTTTATTCTGTATCCAAGTAGGCCTACATATTTTTCTCTTACCTTGGCAACCACAGAAAACCTGAGGACAGCGTAGTTGATGTCAGTGGCAGCATTTTCTACCTCAATGGTAACAGTCACGTCTGTTCCTGATGCAGCACTGGCTGGGGCCGTTAAGGTTACGGTGCCATTGGCTTTGCCTCCAGTGCCTGCTGCTATGGCGACAGTGCTGGGTGAAGATGGAATAAAGTTGCGGTCATCGTTGGCTCGCACTGTGAATGTTCCAGTTGCAGAGTCATTAACAACTCCGTTGGTGGTCGTTGCGACTGTGAAAGGGATGGAGATGGTGGAGCCTGGTTCTATGTTGGTGTTGTTGGCTTGGGTCTGAGAGAAAGTAGGTGGGAAATCACGTCAGCTTTTTTATTGTAAATATGATATTAGGATATAAGGCAATTAGGATCCTGTTTTTAGTCACAGTAGTGGTGTGGCTCTAAGGATGGCAGTGTTGATCAGTCGGACCATCACTGAAATATCTCAGAAACTATTCATTGGATTGCCATTCAATTTTAAAAGACACCCATCGTTCTCCTAGTATAAATCCTATTAACTGGTGATAACTTGACTTTTCCTCTGGCATTCCTCTGAAATGTATGGTTTTGAGTGTAATGTCTCGACAACCATTAAATGAATTACCATGATATTTGGTACAAATATTTATGTAACCCTAAGGATAAATTAATACCTTTTATTGATCCCCTCACATCCCCCTGACAACATCACTTTATTCTATGTCAAAAATTTTATTTGTCCAACATTTTGGTTTATGACCAAACTAATGATATTCTCATTAACCTCAACATTGGTCTGTGGTTAATGCTAATTAGCTAATATTAGCCTGCTTATACACTAAATCGATATATTGAACACAGTAAACATTATACTTGCCAAACATCAGTTAGCATTATTATTGTACAAATGTTAGAATTATGACATTAGTCACAAGGCACAACCTTGCAAACACACAGTTTGCTCAACTATGATAATATTAGTACTGTTCATTCTAGTATAAGGTGATACAAGTGGTCAAGTGGATGGCAATTACCAAAACTTGGCCAGCAGTCAGGGAGACCAGTGTAGATTATTCACTTTATAAATGCTGAAGCAAAGTGGAGAATTGCTTTACTAAGAAACAAAACCAAAAGGTGATTGAGCTCACAGTAACAGCGATGCTTGAGGTCTTGATCTGTGTGGAGGCCTGTCTCTGGAAGCTGCTCGGTGTTGACCTGGAGGTGGAGCTGCTGTCCTCTCCTCTCAGGCGAACCACAAAGTCACCCTTTGGCACTCCACTGAATGTCACCAGGAAGTTACCACTTCCCAGTGACTGTGGAGGACAGGAAGAGAAAGAATACGTTGTCACAAGAAAGACAGTATACGGTCAGAATAATAAGAGACTGACTGTTGAATACTTGCAACGTCATTACTTTACACAGGCCTACCATATTGTAAATGTCTTCAGCATGACAACTATTAGAACGCTCTCTGTTGCAGCCCTGCCTTGTAATTTTGTCCGACAAAACATGTATCTTTCATCAAAAAATCTTGCCTGTTGCATCATTAAATACGAAAAATTATACAAACTTGAAAATAATGAAAGGGATTAAATGACAGTGGCAGGGATCCAACACAAAATTTCAAGGGCAAAGCTTACCCAACTTCAGATTTCCTATATTTGAGACAGCCGGTGGTTTAAATTCATTCTAACTTAGTATGAAAATCTACTTTTAAAAGACAAGAAATCCATCTCAGTAACCAACTTGTTGTCAACTTCATATAGTTACATTATCACTGCATGACAGTACAAATGCTAGGAATAGTTTTACTATAGTGACATCGACTAACAAATGGCTACCCCTCAAGGTAAGAAAGTTGTTGTTTGTTAAATGGTAAGCAGAAAAGTAGTATACACTTTAGTTCCTGGATACATTTTGTGACATACCTGCAGTGATCCGTTAACCTCTGTTGGTCCCGAGCTGTCAACCAGAGTGACCTCTGTGACCTTTACTGTGTCACTTCCTGTCACAGAGACCAAGAGGCTGGCATTACCACCTGAAGGTTGTGACAAGAGAGAAAGGAAAACTAGATGAGTATCATTGTGATGTGAACATAGTAATATAGTTTTGGTTGACGGGCTGGACTGTTAGTATTCTTGGTAAAAGAAGATTTTCAAGGCAAGTGATATATGATTCTTTAAAAAGTTATTGTTGAGGACACTGAGAAAGACACAAAATATTAAATATACCATGGGAAACATGTACAAACTGTTAAATTTAAGATGAGAATAATCACAAAAGTGGTCTAACCTGAGAGAGGACGTCCCTCCTTTAGACTGAAGTCCCCGTGGGCTCCTTCGTGAGCTTCCACAAGGTTATAAATGAAGTTCACTGAACTTTGACCTGATACACACACACACACACACACACACACACACACACACACACACACACACACACACACACACACACACACACACACACACACACACACACACACACACACACACACACACACACACACACACACACAGATCAGTAGGGGAACCATTTACAACAGTAAACACAACTGTAGACAACTGCAAAATAAAATCTTTTGAAATTCTTCTCATTTAACTCTCACTGGCACTCTATCATATTACTGACCTGTGACCTTAACAGAGTAGGGGTTATTAGAATTAACAATGATTTGCCATGATCCTGTTTGATTGTCAGTGTTGAGGCTTAAACGACGTAGGTTTCCTGCTGTGGTGAATGATGCCAGAGGACCACTGGACTGACTGGAACTCTGGGATATACCTGGATGAGGTGGAAACATATTAAAACAAACAATCTAAAGATGTTTCTAATGGCAGTGATGAAGGGAGTAAAAGGGAAATGTTACAATCAAAGCTAGTCCTAACTTGAAAGATAATAGCTGTAATGACACCTGTGGAGCTGGTGAGGTTGAAGGTGAGAGATGAGGCTCCTGTGATGTAGGCAGTGATGTTCCTTAAAGAACCATCAATAGCAAATGTAAAATTATCAGGCCTTCCAGGATTCCTTACTACCTGAAAAATTGTAACCTGAAACAAGAAGGAACAGAAACCGCATATTTATATAGATATTGCACAGTACCATCATCAGTCAGGTATGATTTTCTTGTGCGAAGTCGTACCACAGCGCTGGCTGATGAATCCTCTATTACACTTGTAGCCAGAGAGAGGTCTGACTTGGTGACCTCAATGGCCTGACCTCCAGAAGCTCGGGCTAGGTCACGGTACAGCTGGGCGTCGGACTGGCTCATTGAGCGTGGACTCCCACCCTGAGGGCTTCTGCGGCGCCGTCGACTGGCCAGGACGTCTGTCAACATGAAAGTTACCTAAAAGTATAAAGATAGTATAAAGTATATATATAAAAAAATACTTGTGATGGTTATATTAGAAATGCATATGTATGCAATTGTTAACATACTATTTTTAATTTCATTATGGAATGTATTTGGAGCAAGGATAATAAAAAGTTGACTCTTACCACAGACTTGGTGCTCTCTATAAGGGCAGTGATGGTGCTTTTCAAATGAGCGTCTTTAGCTGGAGCATCAGTGAAGACAAAGATCTCAGAGGATTGTGGAGCAGCAGTCAGGGCTAGCTATCAGTTTTATAGGGGCAAGAAAACATTTTATTCATTGAGAAATGGTCTGGAATAAAAAATAATAGGGATTAGCGAGTACACCATTATCTGCATCGGTTCAACAAACAAAATTATCTGTATTTGTATCAATACTCTGAAGGGGTGGGTCTCAAACCGGACCTGGGTGGTACCAGATGGAAGTTGTTAATTTGAGGTTAATTCTGCATTCAGTAGTTAGTCTGGCTCGGCAATAGTTCTATTTTATTGCTTGGTGTCCTTATCTGAATCATCTCATGGTGATGATATTATTTTGTTGCTTTACAAAAACTGATTGATTCCAAGAAAATAACAGTAGAAAACACTTGTTAATACCTGCAGTCCAGACAAACACAACTCTGGGATGTCTCCTCCTCCACTTGCCGACAGCTTATTGATACTGTCTTTGAAGACGTCCGCATTGGATGTCATAATCAAAGGTCCAAAACCTAAGTATAGAATAGATAACAGTTACCACTTACCATCACTCACTTGATTATACATTTCACTTTGAACTGTAGGGCTAAAGTACACAATTTACAATAGTAGAAAAACTTTTTTGAAATTAGAACTAAGCCTATTTTATTTGGAAGCTGTCAGAGGCAGCACACAGAAGTACATTCTAGTCAAATAGTAACAATCGTCACTCATGAACTACAAATATGTTTGTACCTGGGTCATTGAAAGGTACCAATATGTAGGCGGAGGGCTCCTGCTGGGTTCCCCTCTTACTGTCAATGATGTCAAAGGAAACTCTCTTAGCCTCAGCTATGTCATCGCTCATACTGCCTGTGGTATCGATGACAAAACACAGCACAGAGGACTGGGAGAGGCCCATCAATCTATGGGAACATAAACAGAGACAAACAACTAAATCATTAAAATACGGGGGTTGTTGGAAACATTATACATTACTTAATTGCATGCCCAAGAAACCGACAATGTTGATAGGATTATGCTATTGCTACTGCAGGTCTGGACGCCCAGCTGTCCCAGTTGAAGCTGAACTAAATTTGTATAAAAAGTCCAGTCATTTTAGACGTCTAGGATACATACATACATACATACATACAGTGCTGTTTTAATACATGAAGCATGGAGACATTATAATCCTGTTTTTTTAAATACTAATTTTATTCTTCTTGCATAGGGTCACAAAAAGGCTCAGATGGAGCGTTTCCATACCTGAGGAAGTTCTTGTCTCCGACAGCTACTCTGATGTCCTCCAGTAGCTCCAAAGTGGCATTCACAGCCAAATCAGCTGCTTTGTGGTGAAGTGAGCCATGACTGGATCCAACGTCGTCCTTGTTGATGCCCCCCACTGGGTCCTGTTTGCTTGTCTGGTCAAATGATCCACCGTGGCTACATTTACCTTGGACCAGAGAGAAAACATGTCACCTACATATGTTCACAAAATACTAATAGTGGAACACAACTGAAATGTAGCAGATTTCTTTTAGTTACCTGCAGGTTTTGCTGAGGAGAAGATGTTGAAATAGCCTGAAGTGAGAAGCCCCTGCTGCAAAAGGTCAGGCAGAAGGTTGTTTTCACAATTGCCCCCTGTACAGTTCCTACAGGTTGGAGTACTTAGATCTGCAACAAATTCAACAACAAAAATCAAAGGCATGGTTCATTCATCCTATAATATGGGAAAACATTAACCATGCTTTTAATAAACCTGCTTTACAAATGCATTACTTTACACATTACACTACTTCAAACCAAAGAGAAATATATCTATGTGTCTTAATAACTCAATTCAAACTGGAGTATGTAAACTTGCATGCATAATCATTTAATTCTATTACCGAATAAATTCTAATAATTGCTGATTTTATTCAGTGGTAGATTATATTTATACTGTAGAAATATCTCTTGAGTGTACAGACCAATAGCAAATTATTGTTTTTTCGTGGATTAAAAAACAATTGGATGTAGTTTAGTTAAAAAAAACTAAAATGTGAGTACTAAGCATGTGTTTTGTCCATTTTCATGTGTGGCTTTTGTGTGTACTGTACTGTAAAGCTTTATGAGCCCTGGCCGGGTGGATATTTGTTAACAGGTGACAGATAAACTGACAATGTGCCTAGTGTGATTTCTCATTCAAGGTATGCAGTTAGTGTGACTGAGCAGCAGCTTTGTGGGCAGCAGACAGCATTATCCTACCTGCCAGGTTCTCAAGAGGTTGGTCAGGTTTGATCAGTGTGCTGTAAGGAGCATTGTTCCCCAGCTCCACCCAGTTACTGTGGCTGTAGAAGTCCTTAATATAGAGAATATGAAAATGATTTACCACACCATTATTGCTTGTTGTTTTGATCATTCCCTTCACCCCTAAAGTGACACCACCATCCCCACAATAATGTCTTATTCTCACCTGTAGGGTATGACAAACTCGTCCAAGAGTCCACCTCCCAGCGACAAAGCTCTCCAGCTTCACACTGGCCTTTACAGCAGACACACCTCAACAGTAGAATAGAGAGAGTTAGGTGCAAACTGGGAGTGTTAGGTGCAAACTGAAGCCGCACTTTGCAAGATGTGAAAATATACTTGTCTGTAAAACCTGAATCACAATATGCAGCATTGTTAGTAATAGTGTGACATCAAATGTAAAAAACAAAACAACAAAACAAAATTCCTGAAATATGGTTGAATGTGTTTGTTGTTTCATGGATATCATGTGTTTGATGTGTACCTGCGGTGATGATATCCCGTCCTCCCTGGAAGGTCTCATCATCAAAATGGTGCTCCTCACTCAGTGCAAAAACCACGTCCACTTTTGCGTTGCTGAAGTACATATTGGCAATTGAAGTTTGGAACGTGACCGTTGACAGGAGAGAAGTGCCTGTAGTGGAACAGGCCATTTGCACCTTGTCAGCTGACAGGCTGTCATCAATCTGAAGACAAGGACACAACAAATGACTGAGTGCATGTTTGAACATCTATGTTTCAAACACTAACGCTGTACTCTCATGTTCTTGCCTCATGCAGTTTTGCAATAAAAAACGATTGGCAAACTAAATAATTTTTAAGATTTCCATCAATAATTCCTTTAATTATAAAGACTAACATCTACATAAATGGAGCACGACAATGGAACACAACAAAACAAAACAAACAAAAAGAGGTATATAATACCTCCAGTATTGTCTTTCATAAAATCCTTAGTTACTGTTCAAATTATACTTATATTTCAAGTGCAAATTGTTGAGGTCACTGACCCTGACCTCTTTCATTAAGACGGTATGTTTAATTCCCCTGACTCTCAAAAAAACAGTATCAAAATTGAAATAAATACAAAACATGTAATATAATGGATTTTTGGTTGCACCACAGTTCTCAAAGTTTCTCTGTTTCAGGGTAACTGTCCAACTCACAGTCAGGCTGAAGTCCCGTCCCTCAGAGGCAGCAATGTCTCTGCAGACCTCGGCTGTCTTTCTGAGGACCGCCTTTTGGGTGATGTCACGATGAGTGGAGGACTTCCCATCAAATGAGAAGAGCGGTTGGAAGCTGTGAATGAGGCTTGGCAGGGAGAGGACCACTGCAACCAGGAGCATGACTCTCCTTCTGGCCACCATGATGGGGGATAATGAAGTTGGAAGAAGAAGAAATCTGGATAGATACTGTCTTCTCAACTGTCCCAACTCTTATATCTGCCTGTTTTCAGTTGTTTCCTTCACCAGTTCTCATGTTTTGTGTTGCTATTACTTACACAAAATACCAACTAAAAAGAAGCAGGGGAAGTTTGATAATCTACAGTTACTCCCACACTCTGTGTTGTAATTTCACAGTGGGTTGCCACAAACAGAACACAATGTGATCAAGCACAGAGCAGAGCGGGTTATTGGACGTGAACCAGGGTTAATGAGGCAACAAGTGACAAGTGAAAACACCTGAGGAAGACAGAAAAAGAACAAATCAACCCAGAAAGCAGGAAGGAGGGAAATAAAACAAGCAGTTACACAATGCACTAATAACATTAAACAAACAGATAGCGTTAGTGCACACTATCATGAGATTACATTAAAATTGAGATTTCTATTGAAACCATGCTTTTATTGTTGGCTTTTAAATGCTTGTAGGTTGGCATAGACACAGTGAATAATGTTCAGTCAAATATGAAATCTCTGCTTCCATAGTTTTGATATAATCCCCAAGAAAAGAAGACAGTAACAGCATCTCATGTGCTATTTAAACATTTTCAAATCAATGTTTGACCTAATCTGAAAGACTGTAATCCCTCATTTTACTTACAAAAAAGTTAATATTATTACAAAAAACAAATTACGGCACTAACAAATTAAACGAAAACAAGTACAAATGGTACAATATGTGTAAGACCAATACAATTAGCAATATACAGAAGATGCAAATACATTTTTACACACTCTTACCTGTGTGTGCTTAGTTCTTTAGCAGTCCAGCCTTATTGGCACCGCTTCAGACAGCATTCCATGTTTTTATTCAGGTAGATTATATTATGTGTAGAGCTGTGTGTTTCCTGCTTTATCTGAAAACCTTAAGTGTGTGTGTGTATGTGAGTGTATGTCCTCGTTTCTGCCTCTTATAGTTAGGTCTGATTGAGCTAATGAATAGAATTCCACAGAAGAACTCCCACATACCCTGCATTTTCTTTGCGTAAGAGTTCACCTGAGTTCTTCTGATGGTGTGAGTGAGAACACTGGTGTGAGTGTCTTGTCATTGCATGTAATACATACTACTTTTTTTCCATCAACTCCACATCCATTTGACAGGATCCATCAATCCATCAATGTTCCTATAAGAACCCTGAACAGCTTGCCAGTCTATCACATGCCTAAAACATACAGACAAACCTATTTCTGGGAAATGTGGTTCCATTTAAAGAAATAGTTCATCATAGGGAATGTGCATCTAGCTTGGCTTTCTCCAAAGTTTAAAAATATAAAACTCTAAAACCTCTAAAACTCACAACTTAAGTTGTTGTGCCTCTGTTTGGATACTCTGCACTACTCCAATGGAATTCCACTCATGCTATAGTGCAGGTTGCCAGATAGGCATGTAATGGAATATAATATTAATAGGTATGTTTTCATTAGTCTGCCATTACCTGAATACAGAAATTATTGTTTTTGTTGTCATTACTTTACAATGTTGAACCGCCGTGTTTCTACAGTTGCTCAGAAAGGACAAACCAAACACTGGCTGTAGATAGGGCATTTTGCGTTTTTTTTTATGAGTTTCGCAGGCCACTGTAGTTTCTTCCACACACTTCACAGCGCCTTCTCGTTCCCAGGTTGTCAAATACAGGCGCGGTTAGATACCAATAAATCTTACACAATGGACTTTTAAGTCATTAATTTGGGCTAACCACATCCTAGTTCTAGCTGTACTTGATGGTATTGATCTTGTTGTCATCTCTCTCTTTGACAGAAACCTGTGACCTTTGTCCTGCTAGGAGAACACACATTGATGAGCTACCACGGTGCCTTCATTAGACCAAGTAAACCACTAAAATCAGCTGAGACCCACTTGGCAATGCTTAATTGTAGGAGTTTTAACAGATCCAGTTAGCAAATAAAGTGCAAAAAGACCAATTTGGATAAAGAAAGAAAATACATTCATTGAGCCTTTCCTGGCAAACCGTCTCTAGTGATACATCACTGCGAGTCATACTTGGCCTCTCCCAAGGCACTCCCTTTTGAGTTTTATGAGATAAGGAGGTGATAAGGACACATGTGACCCGAGTTCCTAAGACCAACAAGAAGTCATTTTCAGCAGCCCAAATGTGATGATACAGTGACAAGTTTATGTTAATACTACTTTCTTTAAGGATAAGAACTGACAACTACCTCAATCATACAGACACTGTGGTCAGTACAGTCAGAAAAGTGTCTAAAAAAAAAGCCAAGAAGAATGAAGACTTCATAAAATGACATATCTATGTTTATACCATTGTTGTTTGTTACTACACAACAACTGGCAGCCATGCTGACTGATAATGGTACTGAAATGTCAGTATTCATTTGATTGGGATATATCTAATCTCAACTTTTACCCATTTGACGTGTAGAGCCCCTCTGTAAGATTACAAGTAAGAATCTTGTCAGCACGGTGTCACAATGTCAACCTCCAAAATCCTGCTCAACAACATATTGTGTGTCTGACATTTTCTGATTTATTTAGTATGTGTGAGTCATTGTACACCAACAAAACAACATAGTCAAGAAGATAAAATTTCCTTTGTTTATAGCTGAAGTAGCATACTTTCACCTCTTCACTCCCTCAATTGTCCCTCAGGTGTTGACAGGAGCTGAATTTGTTCAACCGTGTCCTGCTACTTCAACAAGTGATTGTGACATTTCAGAGAGGAATGTGTGTGTATGATTGTGACAAAGACAATTTGTAAAGTAACATTCCTCAGTTATCAATATACAGTAAAATGTGCCTCAGGCTGTGCCATATCATACTTACAAGTTACCTTTAAATTCTACTCTCATAAGAGTGGGCTTTTATTTTCTTTATTTGAAAGTGACAGCTGAAGAGTTACAGGAAAGGGGAGAGACAAAAGGGGTATAACATGCAGCTGTGGTAAGGACTTTTGTAGGGCCTTTCTACATGGGGTGCACACCAGGTGAGCGACCCGGCCAGCCCCCACTGAACATCTCATATCTAATTTGTATATTCCTAGTCTAACCTACATGTAGCAGTGGCTGGCCCCCACTGGGTTGATGGACAGTAATCCATAGGCACAGTTATCATCCCTGCTTATCTCTAGTAAAGTTACAAATAGTAGATATATTAGAGAGCATTTCCACATCATTCTCTGACCTATTGCACTTTTAAAAGTGTGAGTCCTACCCTCACCTAAGCAAAGAACATATATATATATATATGATTATGATATTCAGCGGCTTGCCCAGGTCTGACATCTACATTGTATCTGTTTAAGATAAATTACAGAGGCTGGTCCAACTGGCCATAATCCAAACAATTTATTTGTTTTGTTGAGTCAGTTTCAGTGCAGTTTCAGTTTTTTTTTCAGGAGTCAGGGGCCAGCTTTTAGACTGATCCATTTGATCAGACAGTCACAATGTTCCTTTAAATGCTGCTCATTCAACCCAAGTGTATTTAAAGCAGCTCTGAATCATGATAATCAATCTATGAATATGTGTGAATTACACACCAGCCCTCAATTTGAAAACACCTTATTTTGCTATTTTTACATTATAGCATCACTGACTCCCACTAGTAACTGTTAATACATGAGAGGGCCACATATGTATTTTTGTATTAATGATAAAATACTGAAATTTTTTTTATCACTACTTTTTGTGATATCAAGTATGATATATGACGGTGAAATTACATTCCATGTGCCTTTGCACCGTTCTTTAAACTGATATTAATTTGATGGCCCAATATGCTTATTTCACTGATCCTTTGTGGAAGCCCTTTCTGCTTTTTGTATTGTATTGCTCAGACCACACCCTGCTAGGAGTTGCAACAGGCTTAAACTTTTGATGAACTGAGTAACAGAGAACTTGGAACTACAACATGGCAAGTAAGTCGGACACGTGGACATCATAAGACAATGACCAACACCATTTGTAAATATTACGTAATGAAAGGAATGTATTATTAAATGTATTAATAGCAAGTACGTTAGTTGGGTAGAATGCTATAACCATATTTTCCTCTTTTCCTATTCATAAAGTTTTAAGAAATATCAGCCCACAGTTTGATTGCTGCCAATTATAAAGCTCATCTTTATTTAAAATGAAACCTTGTCCTTTATATGACAACTCTAGTGGGACAGTAAATGCTGTTTGGCAAAGATGAAGCACAGTAAACCGCAGTTTTCTTGTGGTTTTCTAACACTTTCACAATGATAAAGGGTAGCAAAAGACATACAATAATCATACAAGTGATGGTAAAAATGAGCCAGAATCCATCCACTGGCAATGCAGAGATTGGATGCAATTTATTGCTCTCTCTATCATAAACGCAGTTGAGGTTGCTCTTAAGTCTGTAGATGACTTTACACCTCTGTGCTTCGGTCTCGATGTCAGTGACTTTAAAAACCTCATAGGGGGGAATCAGCACCTGGTTGTTTTGTTTCAAGGCTGAGTAATATGTTATGTCAGCACCAAAACATGTGTATACTTCAAAGCATGAAGCGTTCCTTGTGAAGTTCCACCCGTCACTTCCTATTATGAAAGTGCTGAACCGAATCAGTTTGTTAGAGATATTCACATTTAAAAGTGCCTCTATTCTGTAATTTGTACTTAGACATGTCACCTGACTGTGCTTCAGAATCTGAATAGCTTCACTAAGGGAAAAATAAAGGGAGCGGGACTTAAGTGTCTCCTTTAGTTGATTTCCAGTTCTTTCTGCAGTATCAAGGTCTCGCTTGACAGGTTGCAGCATAACATTTGTGTACATGTATAAGGCAACTGAATGATGTTTCTCCATGTAGTTGTGAATAGGCTCCTCAGCGTTTTGCTCTGCGTTGCTCCAGGCTTGACTGAAGTTTGTGCTGGTATCCCATGTCTGCATTATGGCTTTATCAGTCACAACCACAGCTTTGGATCTGCAGTCGTCATACATGTCGTCATTCAGGTCATAGGTCAGATCCTGAATAGAATGCAGAAATGAGGAGAAACATGTTGTTCAGAATTCATCCAGTAGATGGAAACATACACTAAATGAACAGTATTAAGCTGGAACCTCTTTTGCATAGTCCACATTTTTCCTTAAAAAACTATTAGAGATTATGGCTTTTGGAATTACTTTAAAAGTGCATCCATAAAAATTAGACATTTATGTCAAATATATGGTGTAAAATTGTGAAATACCTCTCCAACAATATCCTGCCAGCTTACTGACTGATATATGACAACAAATATTAGCAGTTCCACCAAAAGAACAAGAGAAGTAATCGCACATGCAGATAAAGTTTTTCTCTTGCATGCTTGTCTCTCCCAGGAAGCCATAGTGTATCTGAAACAGAAGAAATTTGTCATTGGTATGAACTGAAAGAGGGGTGGATATGCTTTCATGTTTTTCATATTATCTATTTCAAGAAATCAACCAGGGAAACATCTACAGGACCTGGCTCAGGGCAAAATATAACTTTAATGTGAGGTTGCAAAGGTACAGACATCTGTAAACTGATGATAAAATGTAAACTACAGTGTTATGTTTTTTTTTTTACCATCACTGTCAATTTATTTAAAATGGGCCTCGCTTCCTGTATGCCTCACTGCCTGTATGCACCACAGATCATCATTATAGGCTCACAAATTGAACTACATCAAGGGAGAATGAATGAAAAACCCCAGAAAGGTGGTGTTTTACATGTTTTTGACCTGCCTGAAAACAAATGAGTCACACAAGCACACATGCATCTCATTAGCTATCAGAGATGAACAAAATCCCCTTCAGTACTGGATCTGAGCACTGTACTATTGCACATAGCATTACATCATATATAACTTATTATTTATTTTATTTAAGGGACCATGTACAATATTAAGCAGAAATGTATTAAATATTTGATGTATTGTATCACAGTTAGCTTTACAGTTCTTTAATCAGCTTAAAGGGATTGTGACTCTCCCTGTAAAATTCGTCATAACATACCAATCTCTACTGTAAAAACCCAGTAGATCTAAATACAAATAAATATGTACCACTATATATTTGGTTATTTGGTGCTTCATTATTGGCTTATCACTCTAATCTGCAATAAACTAAAAAAAAAAGTTGATGTGTATAGATGTGTAGTGGAAAGTAAGACAATAACATTTTTAAAAAACTAGCAATTTTTTTTTTTTTTTACTTACCACATCCTGAGCAGCACTATGGTGAAGTTTTTTTTTGTCTTTTATCATTATACAACCTTTTCCAGAGTGAAACATGTCCTCTGTTGTAGTCTGTGCTTTTTGCAACTCGATGACTTCCCTTTGTTTGTTTATACCTGAGAAAGCTACCAAACAGGATTTCCTAGTGCTATCACTTGTAGAACCTCCCTCCTGCCAGTGTAAACACTGAAATGACTGAGCCAGTGTGGATAAAAGGTTTCATTTACACATGACAAATAGAAACAGTAGAACACATAGAACGGGAATATGATGCAAACTAGGAAAAGAAAATGTTTTTAGTAAAATGTAAAAACTGTTCCATTTGTTAAATGGTTTCTCATCACACACTAAATCCTGTTTAAATATCACATGCAAAATGAAATCCATATTAGCTCTGGTGCCTCTGAGCAAAGGCGTGGCAGAATGTCTGCTGTGTGGCTGTACCTGTAAATCCTGTGTGTTGGGACTTCCTGGATGGCAAACTACACTGCAGCACCTTTTTCCTCAAATGAATAACATGCTGCTGTTGAAAGTACTTGGCAAAGGAAAGGTAAGCTAAAAGATAGGATTTCATAAGTTTTTGATGGAAAATATGAGGATGTTTATTGATTGATTAGACTTCAAGGAAATATTGATATAGTTTATTTTTATGTTACTCTTACATTTCAGCCAAACTGGGTCAATGAAAGAGTTCAAAGAGCCTTTTTTGTTTCGTGCATGTTAATGTTTTGTTTTCATTCAGATATGAAGTTTGGCAAAGTACCAGTGTGTGAGCTGAAGTCACTGAGAAACTGGGCATCCCTTTGTGTGTTGTTGGCAGTGGCACTCCTATTATATCATGATCCATTTCTACTACTCTGGTGGCCTCAGAAACCTGCTGAGGTGGGATAAGAGTTCTTTTTTTTTACATGCAACAAAACACACACATTTTTGACACTGAATATTCCAAACCTTCAGTAATTGATTTTACTCACTGTTTCTTATCTGTCACTGCAGAAACCTGGTGGTTTAACTCTGGATATGGCAACAGACTCCATTGATGATATGTATGATGGCTGCCGATCGGAAACGGCCTCTGTGATCGACCTGTTTGGAGTGTTTGAGTGGCACTTCAACAGAGACTTCAGTTTGGCCTGGGCTTCAGTTGAAAGACATGCAAAGAAACCTGCACACAAGCACCTGAAAGAGGACCATGCTATAGTTATGTACCTGTACACAAAAATGAAACATATACAACAAGCTTTCAACGAAGCAGTGAAAACGGGGAAAAACAAGTATAGCACTGACAGATTTAAGTTCCACTATTTCTACTTCTACCTGACGGATGCCATTCAGGCGCTGCGTCAGAATCAGACATCTTGTAGAACCACCTATTACAGAACATGGAAACAGTTTGACCACAATGTCATCAACTCAAACATGCGTTTTGGGGCTTTCACCTGGGTAGCTTCAAGCAAGCAGTCATTTAATTTTAATGCCAATGTGTCTTGTTTTGAGATCCACTCATGCTATGGTGCTGACATTACATATTACTCCGCTACAAAGCAAATGGGACAGGTGCTGATTCCTCCCTACGAGGTCTTCAAAATCACTGATGTCCGGACAGATGATTCGTGGTGCAGGGTGGTCTACAAGCTACATAGCACCAAAATACCAAGGGGAGATTTAAATTGTAAATTGAATCCAAGGCCAATAAAAACATATTTTGGAGCTGTTTCAACACAGTGGCAAGCAAGCAGTGTTGGGAAAATGTCAGCATGCGTAATGCTGTTTATTATAATTTCTTTAGTTCTTGTAAAACGCAGGCAGAAATGTTTTGTGGTTGCAGTGCTGGGTGCTCTGCTGCTGCTGCTGATTATTCTGGTGATGTTGAGAGTTAGCCACTGGGTGTGAGGGGTGACAAAGAGGGGTGATGGTGTGTTAATGGGACTCTTACCTTGTGGTTTTTATCATTGAGAAAATTCCCAAAAAATGTTTTTACCTTTGTCATACTGTGCACAATAAATGCCAAGCAACTCACAAATTCATATTTTGTTTTCCTGACATCAAATTACATGAAAACAACTCATATTTGGTGATATAGATATATGCAGACTGGTGCCAGTATGAGTACATAAAAAGCCCAACCAAAAGAACAACATTGACTTGATTGTTTAAATTTGCAGCTTGACAAATTTTAAAGAGACATAGGTTGGCTGTTCAGACTTTAAAACTATGCATTTAATTGCTAAATTAAATTTTTTTATTAGGACTGGAGAACTATTTCCAAAATGGTACCTCTTTATTGAAACGTATCTTAAAAGAGGTCAAAACAGAATATAACCTAAAAGAAAATAAGTATAAAAGGTCATTTAATTGGATTCTTTAATACAGTTTCTGATGCACTGCACATGGACTTCATGGTATAAAAGTAGCCTACTATCTCAACGTGTTTACGCTAACTACCTGCTGCGTTTAGTAGCATGATACTGTAAGTTATCTTCGGTAAATAATACGTTAGTCATGCTTTTAAAACACTGTCTCTGTACTGTACAGCATGTAAGGTCCTATTTCCCCTTCAAAATGTGTATCCCCACATATTTTACTATAAATAAAAAAATAATTAGACTTGTCTTAATAACAAAATTTGCCACATTTACGACCTTTAAAACAAATACCACAAAAGATAAACGACATGGATACAGTAGGTTTGTAAAAGGTCTCACCTCTTCCTGCAATGGTAAAGGAGGACCCATATAATTAATTACAATCAAAGGGAAATGACTTGACTGTGTAGTCTCATGAAAGTCACACCTCTGATTGGAATGGCCTGCAGCTGCTAAAAGATAAGCAGGAGCTCAGCTTACCAAGTCAGCTAAGTGGCACGACACCATGTGAGAACTGCAGGGTGGTAAGTGAATAAAAGTCTTCATTGCTTCCTTGTTTGATCTGGGATCAAAACAAATATTAAGGAGTACCCTTCAAGGCCCACTTCAATCCATCCAAACAAGTTTTACACAGTTATTTTTACACTCAAGAAATTGACAGCAAAGTTAGAGGAAGGATATTAAACAAAATGTTGTTAATGAAAGAGTTATTTTTGTGTGCAGGTTTCCATATCTGAAGATGGCAATGATGGCAGTTTGGGCAGCAGTGCTATTGACATACGGAGCCTGTATAGGAGTTGCAAAGGTACTGCTGTACAGACATCTGTGGGAAAGATTATCACCAAGTAAGATATTATTTTCTCATTGTTTTTTTATATTATTTTTCAGATGTCTGCAGAACCTGGGTTAAAAGTTCCACTGGATTTAGCTCTAAATGCTATTGATGACATGTACACTGGCTGCAAAGACAAGATGGAGTACAAAGTGAAGAAGGAGTACCTGCCTAATGAGAAAAACAAAGACAACAATTTCACCCTGGCCTGGGGTGAAGCAGAAAAATACTACAACAAAAAATGGAAGCGTAAAAAGGGAAAGTCACCTTCTACCTCCCTGGGGAAAGAACGGATCATGGCTATTTATGTTTATACCCTCGACAAACCAAAAATCTATCTTGATTTCAATAAGGCAGTTCGAACCCAGAAACCTAAGTACAAGACCACATTCAGGTATCACACACTTCACTTTTTCCTGACTGATGCCCTTCAAACTCTCAACACTCGCAAACCTGAAGCAGAAAGGTGTCTCACTGGCTTCCGCAGGGTCAACAGCTACTTTAGCCAAGATGTTCTCAACAAGTTGATTCGCTTTGGTTCTTTTACCTCCAGCTCAATGGGCTGGTACCCTAGCGCTGAAAGATTTGGAGATAAGTCATGCTTTGAGATTGTCACATGCTCTGGGGCAGACGTCTCGCTGTACTCTAAGCTTGGGGAGTCAGAGAGAGAAGCCCTGATTCCTCCTTATGAGGTCTTTAAAGTCACAAAAATAGACAGGAGATCTGACCAGAAGAGTCTTCCATGTGAGGTGGTTTACAAAGTGAAAAGCGCAGGAATAACTCTGTCCAATATGAACTGTGCTCTTTTCTGAGATAAGTAGTCTTACACATTTGACAAACTATTCATTTCATTCATTTGTAGATTTAAAAAAAGGCATGATATCATTTTGGCTACTAGTGACAGTGTCAGTATTAATATTTAAATGACTAAATCTTTAAAAGCCAGATGTGAAGAGTCTGGGTAAACTTACTTAAACATCTGTAACTATTATAATGCAGCCATGTTCTTATCCATGTTATCTGCATCTAGATAAATTGAGTGCAACAAAGAAAAATCAATTGTCCAACAATCCTGTCAAACTCTGTGAAAAATGTAATAAAATGCCTTTGTGTTTCACAAATTGTTTGTCTAAAGCTTTTACATTCGTTCTGTGTGTATAACTCATCGACATGCAAACTCATAGAATTAAAATAAAGTGAACTGAATGTGTAGAGCTCTCACCTGTGACTGGGAAGGCCTAAAGCTGGTGACTGACCAGATATGAGCCAACCCTGGGGGTTGCATAAGTTCATGCCAATGTATCACACAAGTCACCATTTTTATATATATATATATATATATAATATATATATATATATATATATATATATATATATATACTACAGTGTTTCCTCTAGGATTTTTTTTTAGCAGCGGCGGCAGGCCCGTCCGAACCCCCCGTCGTCCCCGTCACGCCGTCAAACATTTTACATATGACACAGAAGTGACACTTCGCTGCGACACAAACAAATATATTTACCGTTTTAATGTTTCCAGATGTTTGATATCAGGACGTTGAGCTGAGAACTGACAAGTTGAACGTTGTCCAATTAAAACGGACCCACCGCAGTGATGTTTTTGGTGGAGCTGTTAGTTTAATAGTCGACTTGGAATAAAGCGAACATTTTGACAATAAACTACATCAACACAACAGTATGTGGAGTTAAACTGGACAGCCCCAATAACCTCTGAATAGTTCTACTTGTTGTTAAATTGCAATGTGAGCGGCAGCCAACGGGGTGCATTATGTCGGCAGGATCATTTAAAAGGCAACCGTGACTACATTGTGCGTCTGCCCCATTTCTGATACCGTGGCGGCAGAAATCTAACAGCGATGGGCCGCCGCTCCAAAATCAACATAGAGGAAAGATATATATATATATACTACTCACAAAAAGTTAGGGATATTCCACTTTCGGGTGAAATTTAATGAAAATGTAAAACGTTGCTGCTACAGTGATATTATATCATGAAAGTAGGCATTTGAGTAGAGACATTCAAATTAAGATCACCTGGAAAGGTTATAGTGCATTTTATGTACATTCTGAAATTTCATCCGAAAGCCGAATATCCCTAACTTTATGTGAGTAGTGTATACATACATGCCGTTGACATGATTTAGTGTGTTTGTGTGTGTGCGTGTGTGTGTGTTTTGTTGGTTACTGTCTGTGATGCTGTGCACATGAGCAATCACAGCAAAAATGGGCAAATACATTGGCAGACTCTAGATGATACTGATTATGGTGGAGGCGATTGTTATCATTTTGGTGTCTGAGAGGCCAGATGGATTTGATGAGTTAATTTTCCTTTTCCTTTCTGACATGAGAAAAAAAAAATATTGAGCTGAAAGCAACTATAGACTTAATATAATATGATTGGATTAATATTAATAATGTAATATATTATGTAATTTAACAAATTAATGTGAACTACGGTTATTTCTGTTCTGTTTGGATCACATTAGGTAGGAAATCCTCATGTTTGTAACGCAGCACCTACTCAACCTCAGGTCTCTGGCTAACATGCAAATGATAGCCAAATACGTTCAGCCCATCAAGAGACTATCAAAACACTACAGATAAAAGAACAACGAAGTTTTGAATGCTGTTAATTCAGTGGCTATCATCAGGAACAGGAGTTACTCACTTACCTGTTTGATAACTTGCTTTGCCTTTTTACATTTAGAGGCCATGCAATATGTATTTAAGTCTTCCTGGCTACACTAAAGCCTAGCAGGAAACTTTGAAAACACAATTCTGACACCCTCTCACATCCAAAGACAATATGTCAAAGTATACATGAGTATACATGAAGCTTCTTTCCAAGTTCTTCAAGGCGACAAATTCTACATAGAAAGATGTGCATGTCTCCTTTCCCCACAAAACGGTATGTAAGACCCACAATCCTCAGTTAATGGCCGTGGGATGGCCCACTTGTCTGTCTTCCTGTACTGCTCTTCCCAGGCTGTGTTCTGTGGCAGCCTCAACATCTTATCATAGATGCCACACCTTTGTAGTTGAATTTGGGTTCATATTTTTGTTAATACTCACATGCATATTTTCATCCACCCATGCCTTACGCCACTGACTTAATCCATATCTCCACCTCCATCTTATTTTATTATTTTAATTTATTATATTTTGCTTTTGAAACTTGTGTATGTCAACTCCCTCTTGGTACCGACCTGTGTTACATTAATCTAATGGATGGTAGATGGAGGGTTTATTCAGTTCAATTCAATTCAGTTTTATTTGTATAGCGCCAATTCATAACAGAAGTTATCTCAGGACACTTTTCAAATAGAGCAGGTCTAGACCGAACATGTCAGAATTGCAGGAAACCAGAGTTTGCATCCCTTTGCTGACTTGCAATGAACATTCTCATATTTAGCTTTTCTTTAATCATTACATACCCTAATCTTGATCAGTTCCCATGTGCAGATGTTGAAGAAAAGGATGGATGTATATAGAAAAAGAAGAAAAAAGACCATTACTGTGAATCACCTCTGTGATATATATATATATATATATATATATATATATTTTTTTTTTTTTATTTTTTTTTCTCCACCCACTGTAAGTAGTTTGAATATTTATGTTCCCACACTCATTACACCAGAATAAAATGCATTGAGATGAAACGAGTGAAGTCTTTTTTTAACCATAATCACATTATTTACCAGACATGAAAATAAAATATAACACTAGAATCTTATTAAAGAAATGCCTGATCAAATGATTCATTGAACAGTTTATTTGTCACAGCCAATGAAAAAGGAAAAAAGGTGCCACCATGAGAATAAAGAAGAATCAAGGTAGAATACAAGCAGACTTCTATTTACATTATTGATCCCACTATTTTTCCCCATAGTGTTTTTGAGTCATGAGCATTGCCTGGCATTATAGCCAATGATGTAATGTAAATGTAAATCTAAACCAAAATCACCAGGAACCATTATACTAGTTACATTATACTAAAATATATAGTACATATACATACTCACACATAGGTATATAGTCAGGGATGGCTGTCTCCCCAGTGTTGCCGTAGAGCACTTGCTTTAACGTATTAATTTAATTATAATTTAACTTTATAGTACACAATGTTGTTGCTGTAACTTGATGTGATGCTACTGTTGCTGCTGTTGCTGCTGTGTGAAGTATTGATGAGTGTAATGCATTTGTTTGCCCACCCACCCAAAATCACCACCAGCCGTCACTGTATATAATGATTGTTAGAGTTTCCTGAAGCAGAGAAGTTTTCTACTCCTGTGGAGGTAGAGGATGGGCTGTATAAACCCAGCTGTCAAAGCTAAGCTTGTGCAAATAGTAAAGGCATCAGGAAACTCAGACTTCAAAAAACCTTGCAGTGGAATAACAGCCATATACAAAAAGAAATTAATGGCCATTGTAATCATGATAAGCAAAATGATTTTAAATGCCCTTCTCTTTATTGTATTGCTCTTCTTCTTCTCTGTGGTTTTTTCTCCTGGCCTAGGATGTTTCAGTGCCCTGAGAACTGAGAGGCAGCAATAAAGTATTACACAGAAGAAGAGTACATTCTGGAGGAAAGGTCCATAAAGATACAGAGGTTCTGTGTAGGTGTACATAGAGTAGATACAGGACACCAGCACAATTGGCCAGGCAACACAGCAACAGGCCACCCTGTACCTCAGGGGTTTACACCGCAGGAATAACACAGGGTGGACAACCCCGACATAGCACTCGACACAGATGCAACACTGGAAGAGAGGACGGGCGGTCAAAAAAAGGCCACGTGAGAACATGAAGGCATCAAAAGAGAAGAACCAGTTTAACCATACATAAACAAAATACAACATGCTGGATAAAACGAAAAAGATCTCCGACATAGCCAGGTTGAGAGAAAATAAGTCTGAGGCCAAAGTTTCTCTGGCTCCTGCCAATATCAGCCACATGACATAACCGTTCAGAGGCAGACCCAGGATGATGTTGACTGAAACTGAAGCGATGACCAAACCTGAAAGATGAGAGTGGCTTGATAAACCGTTTTCTGGCAAGGTGGTGTTCATTTTGTTACTGTAGAGAAGAAGAAGAGACAGCTTCAGAATCCTGAACATGAAAATGTAATGTTTCTTTGATCAGTTTGGGCTTCTTCATACAAAGAAGACACATTTTTTTCTACAACAAACCTTTACAATAATTTGAGATGCAGTGCACTGCAATAACATACTATACATAAATCAACAAGCATCGATTCAAACCTGGTTAGAGTAGAACAGTGCGTGGAGTTCAGGCAGTAGTGACGTGAAGATTTGAAGTGACGGACAAATAGCCTTGCAGGCTCTCTTTACTGGTTACTGTTGACATAATCAAATACACGACAAAAACAACAATCAGAACACTGGCAGGAAAATGAAAATGTTATTCAAAAACAAAAGGGGTTTTTCAAAATAGAGATCCCTGCCTTTAAAAAAATTTTCCATGCTGTGCCCTGCCTCTGTCTGCTGAGACAGACGGTAACCACTTTGACCCTTTAGGTTGAGAGATGAGTGGGTTACTGTATATTGATTTAAAACGTCAGCTCACCTTTCTTATACAAAATCTGTTTTTCCCCAACTTAGCAGTAGAGGAAAGTAATTGAGTACATTTACTGAAGTACTCGACTAAAATACAGTTTTAAGGGACTTTTACTTTACTTGAGTGGTGGATGCATCGTTAAAATGTAACCTCAATCTAATTATGTATTAATCGTCCATTTAAAATAAGTGATCTTTGTGCACAAATACTATTGTACTCAATGTAAACAATATAGCAGTTGGCTGGTTGACTTCCTTTGACACCTGTAAGTTTACACACAGGGCCATGCTTCGTGTCTGTTACATGGAAAACATGTAAAGCAGTGTTGGATCTTTGATCATTTCTCTTGCAAATCATACAAAGAGAATAGAGACTCATTTTCTTCCCATGGGTCACAGTGAAAGTTCCAGATTTGTAAGAAAAAATCATAACAATATCACAAAAACAGGAGAAGAGAAATATAAAGGTTAAAAATGCATTTAAAATATAAAATGAACGATAATATGACTAGTATGTCCTATTA